ATAACGAGGAACGACGCGCCTATACTATTACCTCCGTTATCGGGCCTCTCGAATATATCACTGTTATCGCCCAGCCACTCATCTACAGTTGACTTGTATTTATTAATCCATATCATGTTCTGTACCGCATCTTTCAAGACATCATCCTCCGGATCCAGTTTTCTACCCAGGAAAAATGCGGTCAGCTGAAATCAAACGAACAATTCTATACATTTCGATTTAAATTCCAAAATTCTTTATTAATCGCGAAGTGACGGGTATTTAGGTCTTGCTTCTATCATCTCAGGATCACTTGTGTAGTATAATCGAGGTGTTGGGAACGGATGTATGATTTAGGATAGGGTACCTGCCCGAAATATACTGAGAAAGTATTAGAGCCGAATAGAGGTGATTGCGTATGTATTTTTTAACAAAAATTTCTTTTGGCAAAATGCAGAGTGAGGTATGGTTTTTGAATTATTAACGAAGAATGCTGACCAATGAAAGCACGTGTAGGGCCCGCGCTGAGCCACGGCCGAGCGTTACGATTCGAGCCAATATTTCCGTCATTGATCAATATTCTTCGTTAATAGTTCAAAAACCATGACTGACTGTACATTTTGCAAACGGAAATTGCTGTTCAGAAACCTACAAAATCACCTCTTTTCGGCTCTGACACTTCTTCTGGGATATCCTACATGTATGTACACAGAGTATCCTAGAACTCGTGGTACATTTTATAATGGGCGGTTCCTGGGGTGATTTTAAATAATATTTTCCTTTGTAAAAAAAGTTGTTCGAAGCGTGGTTGTCGAGTTGTTAACGAAAAACCCCGACCGATCAGAGCGCCCGTATAGCAGGCGGCCAGGTGCGGCAACGCACGAGGCGGTTGTCGCTTCCCTGGCCGTTCGCTATACAAGCGCTCTGATTAGGCGGGGGTTTCTCGTTAATAACTCAATGCGTTAATAACCATGCCTGGGACATTTTTATAAAGGAAAACATTGTTTAAAATCACCTCGAGAACCTCCCATTTCCGGGCGTAGTATTAGTTCTGGGACACCCTGTATAGGGCAATATACCTGAGTGCAACCACTTTAATATCACCCTCATTTGGGATGATAAAAAGAACTGTTTTTCATGCAATGTAAATGGTACCAGAATATGAATACTCGGCAAAATTTTGTTTTTCTGAATTTTGAACATCACAAATGATTATTAGCGATTGTGTTTCTAAGCTTAAAACAACAGGCTTATATACGTGCAGCTTCTCGATCGTCGCTGCTAAAAGTCAGTGATATCGATGAATGATGATTTTTATATTTAATTTCAGAAGTCAAATTTCGGAAATCAGAGGACTGTTTAAGGTCCGATCACTAATATATTTAATCGTGTTCCAATGTCAATGAAGAGAAAAAAATTTGTAAGAAAAGAAT